GTGGATTGGACTATCCCTGACCACCTCAGTGTTGACGAAGGGTGGAACATCTTATGCTCCAAGCTGACGTTACTCATAGAACAGGACATCCCCTTCTCCAAAGGTCTTTCATGGATCGATCACGAATTGAGATCAATGATGTAAAGAAGGTGTTAGCTGTGGGATCTTTTCAGACTTACGCGATTTGAGCTTAACTACTGCTACTACAAAACTGTCAGGAATGCTTGCAACATGAAAAACGCGAGCAAGCCAAAAGTACGAGCTGTCATTAGCTGCACTTCCTAGTACAAACTCCAAGGCGCTCTTCTTATACCTCAACCGAAGCACCAAAGCTGGCAGTGGTGTCCCTGCGTTGTCTCCCTGTGAGCATTTGGACCTAGTTTACGAAGACGTTGAGAAAGCTGCCTTTTGGCCCAGCAATATTCCTCTGTCTACCCGATCTAAACGCCACCCCCAGATAGCGTTGCACCCACTCCTCTTTCCATGTTGCAGCACGTGAAGGTTAACACTCAGGTTGTAATGAAACTTCTTTTTGAATTAGACCCCCATTCCTCGCCTGGTCCTGAAAGTTTACACACATTGTTCCTTAAGACCGTGGCTGTGCACACTGCCGCTCATGTTTTTCAAACCTTCAGTTGTTCCCTTGAGGTCGGGCGGCTTCCAACTGCTTGGAAGGTGGAAATCGTTAAACCTATTTACAAAGGAGGGAACCGACAAAATCCAGCCAGCTATCGTTCCATCTATCTGCCTACGATTTTGTTCAAAGTCCTGAACCGGATGCTGCAATGGGCCCTTCGCCTTCATCTCGATGAGTTAGAGTTCCTCTCTCATGTCCAACATGGTTTCCGAAGGACACGTCCATGCGCCGCAAATTTGCTGGTGGCTAGGGAAAAATGGGCGACGTCCTTAGATGCCGGTGCGCTTCTGGATGCTGTGCTTTTTGATTTCAGTAAGGCTTTTGACAAAGTCCCGCATGAGCAACTCCTCTTCAAACTCCGTGGAATCGGCGTCCCTGGCAATTTTCTTTCTTGGGTCTCCTATTTCCCGGATGGTCGCTTCATGCAGCTTAAAGTTAACGAAGCACTTCTGATCAAGTTCTCATGACTACTGTGTTCCCCAGGACACTGTACTCGGCTCCGAACTCTTCACTATCTTTTTCAACGACCTGCCATCCGAACTGTAGACCCACTGCTTAATCTACGCGGAGGACCGGAAGCTGCGGATTGAGATATCCAGTCTAAAAGATGCAGACAGACTGTAAGCCACACGTGGTCCGCTCCAGGATTGATCACTTAAGTGGCCGTTGCCCATTAAGCGTGACAAATGCACTGTCCTCCCGATCGGAGCTTATGAGCCTTTTGGGGCTTAACATTTGGGGGTTTCTTGCTCAGAAATGTCAACCAAGAGAGGGATCTCGGGGATGGTGTCTCCTGATCTCACCTCAACCTAGGACACCAAGAGGAGGGGCTCAAACGCCTGCAGAATATTTCATGCTATACGGAGAGTCATTCACTCTTGATCCCAACAACCTTCAGACTACTGTTCGCTTCGCATGTGCGCCCAGTTCCAGAGTACGGCTTGCCCGCTGCGTATCCTCTCACAAATGCCGAAAGTGACATGCTCGAAAAGGTTCAGCTGCGTGGATCCAAATCCGTTCCAGAGTTGCGGGACTTACCTTACCTCCTACGGCTTCAACGGTTGAATCTGTCCCCTCTGGATTGTCCTCGGCGCCGCTGAGATACGATATTCACTCGGCGTATTCTACGAGGTGAGCTGGAGAGTGAGCTGTAATCGTTCTTTCGTCTGAACACAAGGTGTGCAACTCGAGGCCACCGGTGAAAAAGTTCCAAACCGCGGTGCCCCCGTGTGAGGTCTGACCTGGCCCTATCCACTCAGGTAGTGAATGACTGGAACAGCTTGCCAGAGGCTGTCTTCCTTGCGGAGACAACGGAACGTTTCAAACGACTGTTGGATACCCGCTGTCTGAATGCGCAGGGATACTGCTGCCCACTATCCAACCATAGTGATCTTCGGAACCTTGGTCGCAATGATCTCAGCAACCCACGCAACGTCGGGAAACGACGGAGCTGACAAAGGAACCTCCCTCTGCTCTCTACCAACCAATGAACCAATGAATGAAGACAGCACAGAGTTGGCTTCTTAAAAGTGGACTTGTAGTGTTGCTGAATAAATTTGCTCAGCTTCGCCCCAGGAGACATCTTGGGAAAACCCGATGGTGGAGACGAAACATTGATAGTGATAAAGAGGCGCATTGCTGAGTGGAGAAAATATCAAGAAACTCGGGGCTTCCGACGTTTGCTGCAGTACAAAAGGGGTCGAAACATGGCTATTAAGTTACAGCGGCAGGCGAAGTACTCATATGAGCTTAGGTTGACCAAATTTGCGAAATTAATCCCAAGTGTCATTATAGTTATGTCCAGTCAAAGGCTATCTAACCATGGAGGACGGTACCCAGGCTGTAGACGACGTTGATAAAGTAGAAGCGCTGCTACGTGTCTACCAAAACCTGCATCGGAAGGATAGTGAGTCAGCCTTGCCATCACAGCCGCACTACTCAACTAGCTACACAATGCGGGAAATTATTCTCAATGTGTCAGAGGTCTTCACAGTGCTAGCCAGTTTGAACCCTCATAAAGCAGATGGTCCTGATAGCGTATATCCCGCCATAGTTAAGCCTCAGGCTGATATCCTTCAGTATCCGGTAGCGGAGTTATTCAAACAGTCTCTTCAAGAAGGCGTGCTGTCACGTGATTGGAAGGAGGCGACTACTGTCGCCATCCACAAGGGGGTTCTAAGTCGGTGCCTATTAACTATAGACCTGTTAGTTTGACCAGCATCATGCTGAAATGCTTGGAAAAGCTTATAAGGAACAGTATCTGTGAGCACCTGGCTGAGCACAATCTAATTAGTGCAGAATGGCATGGCTTTCTCAAAAAGAAGTCTTGTCATACCAATGTATTGTGCTTTTAGACGAGATTACCCGTTGTCTTGATGGTGGGATATAGGTAGAGGTGTGCTATTTGGACTTCAGTAAAGCCTTTGACTCAGTGAATCATCAATTTTTAATTGAGAAGCTGACATGGTTTGGATTGCATCCTCAACTATTACTATGGCTCCCTGAATTCGTACGTGGAACGACATTCAGAGTCAGTTTTGGGGAAGCGAGTTCTAGTGTTGGCCCTGCCTACAGCGGTGTCCCCCAAGGTTCTTTTCTGGGTTCATTGTTGTTTCTTACGTTTATGATTGACCTGGCTCCTTTTCTTGAGTAACCCTGTTACATCTTCGCAGATGACTTGAAGCTAGTCCGTAGGGGAAACCGAGCGACATTGGTTAAGGGCATCATCACTGTGGTGAACTGGTCAAGCCAAGGGGACCTACCTCCAAATGCCAACACATGTCAGCTATTGACTAGTAGTGGTAGCGGACTTGCATTTCAGTCTCCTGTGGGATCCCTATCATTGCGGTGTACTGACGAAGCCCGTGATCTAGGTTTCATCGTAGCGAACATGTTTAAGCCTTCTGCACAGTGTCGCCATGCTGCCATTAAAGCACGACACGAGTTATTTCGTCTTAGGAGGGCGCTGAGTAACAATAAAGCAGGGGTATCCTTGCCCTTACATAAAGCAGTGGTCAGGCCACATCTGGAGTATTGTGTTCAGGCCTGGTCACCGTACCTCCGGAGTGACATCATTTGCATAGAAAAGATTCAGAAGCTTGCGACCAGGATGATTGAAGGTCAACAAAGGAAGTCTTGCGAAGATCGTCTAAGTAGCTTAGGATCATTTTCGTTGGAACGGCGTAGGTTGAGGGGCTTTGATAGAGACGTTTAAGATCATTATGGGATTTAGTGGTATTAGTTCCACCCCTCTGTTTGAGTTGGCTACATCAGAACATCTGCGCGGGCATCGCCTGAAGCTCAAACATCACAGAGCTCGTTTGCACATCAGAGCAAAGATCATTACTAACCGAGTAGTTCACTTCTGGAATAAACTTCTTCTGATTTAGCGGAGTCTGAGACCGTAGAAGCCTTGAAAAGGGGCTTAGACAATTGTTTGTCCATCCTTTTTCCAGAGATGTTGTAGTCGTACTGAAATATGTAGTGCATTTTGATGATGGCATATGAAAGTGCAGAGATTGCTCTTGTTCTTGCTTCATACAATTGCAGCAGCTAGAAGAGACTATCCAACGTCGAAGTGCCCGGGGGCCGCTTCACTTACAGCACAAGAACTGGACACTCGTTAGGCGGAAGCCTGATCGTCCATCTGACCTGACCTGACCTGACCTGGCACAATTTAGCCTGCCGTACAGAAACACAAAGCTCCTCCAGGCCAATTTTTCGGTACAAAACTAGCCACGCCCATGCACTTAATTATTTTTCTTCACTCAGTAGCTTTATGGTATCCGGCAACTGATGCTGTACCAAAGCGCACAGCCTATTATCCGCCAATTTAGAGTCCGTTACTTAAGTACTGTTTTCAAGGTCACGGCGTGCTTGTCGTGTTTCACCGTTCGAGGTTTTCTTTACTGAAATCCTTGTTTGAGAACAGCAGTTAAATAACACTACATAGAAAATTTGGCTTTTCAGTTTTCTTGCGATCCGAAAGTACTTTGAAGTACCGACATACTCGGAATTTCTTGTGTGCCTTCCTTTGTCACTGCGTGGTTGTCGTGTTTCACCGCTTGAGTTTTCCTTCTCGGAAGCCTTTTGTGGAATCAGTGTTGAATAACTTATCCAAAAGCTTGACTTTGTGTTTCTTGTGGTTCAAACGGGCTTGAACAAGCTTCGTTCCTTCAGTCTTGCCCAGCTCCAGCGGCAAACTTCCCTGCGAGTAAACTTGCTTTGTTCCTTTGTTGTCAGCGAGTCAGTGTGTCACTATCCGTCTTTTGACCACTAGACGCTATCCAGCTACCCCTCGCCTCTTGTGCGCTCCTTCCCATTCGTCAAAGGCGGATTTAACTGATTCATTTCCTGGGATCCGTTCCCTGTCTTTTAGTGAAGAAAAGCGATTCTAGCTTGTTTCCGGAGAATCGCGACATATTTGGACTACATCTTCTATGGCGTCCAAATGCTTGTCTTGCGCTAAAGGAGTGACTTCTCGTTCAAAAGCCGTACAGTGCTCTGGATGTGACGGCTGGATGCATATTGCTTGCTGTGGCATCGGTCCTGATCAGTATGAAGCACTACAGCTGATGACTTCTCCAGCCATTGTTTTCTTTTGTGATGTCTGCCGTACTTCCTTAAACAACAGACGTCTCGTGAATGGGCTCTCCTCGATCAGCCCTCATCCCATTCCAATGACACCCAAGGCTCCCGATACCCTGGTCCCCCTAATTACTCCTCATTCTCCCCCTTCTGCCTCCGCACCAGCCTCTCCCACAGGTAAACGAAGTCGCGGGCGGTCTGATTCTTTCCCCCAGCCGTTGGAATACGTCCATCACAGCGAGACCAAGACAAAGACATACGCATCGGTTGTAAAGGAAAGTACCACCGCATCTGGTGATATGTATAACGCTAAGACTAAGTCGAAGTCTAAATCCAAGACTTCCTCCCCTCAGTCGCAGTTCAAATCTGTCCTTGACAAGATTAACCATTTGGAATCGCTGATCAGAGACAGCGCAAATCCTTCCCAACCGCAAACCACCAGGCGTACCCTACCACCCTCCCGTGACCGGTGTCTCATCATTATGAATGCGCCTGAGTCGACCAAAGATGCCCCAGCCGGACGGATGTTAGACGACCAAGTGTTCCTGGAACGACTTATCTCTGTGTTATTCGACGAAGGCGAACAGGGAATCAACATTATCTCGGCTTTCCGCTTAGGTAAGAAACAAGAGGATTCCCCCAAGCCTCGCCCCCTAAAGGTTGTGTTCCAAAACGAGGAAGAATGTCGACGCATTCTCCTACGGACCTCACGGCTCAAAGGCAAGCCGTTTTATGTGTTGAGAGATCTCTCCCCGGAAGATCGGATCAAAATGAAAAAAGCCGTTGATGAGCTGAGGACCCGTCGGGCGAATGGTGAAACGGACCTTCATATCGCGGATTTTCGCGTAGTTCGGAAAACTCCAAGAACCCGTTGGAGACCGATTTTTCTCACCCCAGGACAGTAACGCAAAAGAACGGACTGCGTGTGCTGTTCGCTAATGTTCGTAGTCTGCGAAATAAACTTGATGAGATCCAGACGCTTGCCGCAGATGTTTGTCCTGATTTAATGGCCTTCACTGAAACATGGTTATTCCCTGACATCATTGACTCTGAAGTATCTATCCCTGGATACCACCTTTCTCGGGCCGATCGTCATGGGAGGAAGTCGGGAGGCGGCGTAATACTATACTGGAGAGCGGATCTGAAGTCCCATCTAGTTGAGGTCTCATGTGACAATGACAGCGATTTTGATGCCCTTTGGTGTCGCATTCATGACGGGTGCAGATCTTCTTTGATTGGTGTCATCTACAGAGCGCCACTGGGCGCGGGAGCTCGCCTGTTGGAACTGATCAAGAAGCACGGTGCTGGAAAGGATTGTCTTATTCTGGGAGATTTCAATGCTCCTAATATCGACTGGGACTTCTTTCTTTGCAATCGTCCACCTGATTCCTTTGATGCCGCTTTCCTTGATACCATTCTCGACTGCAGCCTGTATCAACATGTGTCCATGCCTACTCGCATTCTCGCCGGCCAGTCGCCTCATATCCTGGATCTTGTGCTCTCCCCAGCGCAGTCAGACGTCATGGACCTAACAGTCTTCCAACCTATTGGTAAAAGCGATCATTGTACTATTTTATTCCAATGGACTCGTCGCTTTACCGTTCACAACTCATGTGCCGTTCGCCGAAATTTCTGGCGTACCGATGCCCTTCGTCTTAAAACGGCTGCAAGCAGTATGGATTGGTATATTCCCGAACAGCTCAATGTGGACGGTGCCTGGAATCTTCTGTACTCCAAGCTGACATCACTCATTGAGCAAGTTGTCCCCATTTCCAAAAAGCGACCGCTCTCTAGAGGCCCTCCATGGATCGATCGTGATCTGAGATCCCTAATGAACAGAAGACGTAAGTTGTGGGACCGCTTTAGGATCACGCGGTCAGAGCATGACTACATCAGTTACAAAACGGTTAGGAATACCTGTACCCTGCAAAAACGTGAGAAACGTCAACAGTATGAACTCTCTCTAGCCACACTTTCTAGAAACACTCCTAAGACGCTTTTCTCCTACCTCAAACGGAGCACTAGAGCGGGCAGTGGTATCCCTGCCCTGTGTTCTTCCGAACATGAGGATCCAGTTCACGAAGACACCGACAAAGCCAGCCTCCTGGCTCGGCAATACTCTTCAGTGTATTCAACCTCAGCGTCGTTTACTGACAGAACAGTGTGCACTCCCCCTTCTCTGTTAGAGCACGTCGATATTAACACTGACGTCGTGTTGAAACTTCTCTGTGAGTTGGATCCTTACTCATCGCCTGGTCCTGACGACTTGCACCCTTTGTTCCTCAAGACTGTGGCTCAGTACATTGCTTCACCTATCACGCAGGTTTTCCGTCGATCGTTTCAGTCCGGACTTCTCCCGACCGCTTGGAAGATGGGCATCATCAAGCCCATATACAAAGGAGGGAACCGGCAAGACCCAGCTAGCTACCGGCCCATCTGCCTTACATCGATAGTGTGCAAAATCATGGAACGGGTCCTGAAACGGGCGCTTCGACTTCATCTCGAGCGGTTGGATCTGATATCCAGTGCCCAACATGGTTTTCGCAAAGCTCGCTCCTGCTCTACCAACTTGCTTATGGCTAGAGAAAAATGGGCAAATTCATTGGATGTTGGCAAACGCATGGATGTTGTGTTCGTGGACTTCAGTAAAGCTTTTGATAAGGTCCCTCATGAACAGCTTCTCTACAAACTCCGAGGAATCGGTATCTCTGGAAACTTTCTCTCCTGGATTTCTGATTTCCTACACACTCGTTCCATGCTGGTGAGAGTGAACGAAACGTATTCCGATCCTGTTCATATGACCAGCGGTGTTCCACAGGGCTCCGTCCTCGGCCCCGAACTCTTCAACATCTTCATCAACGATCTACCGTCGGAGCTTCAATCGGATTGCTTGATTTATGCGGATGATCTAAAGATATGGAAGGAGGTATCCTCTCTAGAGGATGCTGATCGACTACAAGAGACGCTCGATCTCCTGCACACTTGGTCGATTCAGTGGCATTTACCCATTAATCAAGACAAATGTTCCGTCCTGCCTATCGGCGCTCCTGAACCACTCGGCGCGTACCACATAGGTGGTTTCTTGCTCAAAAATGTTACATCAGAGAGAGATCTGGGCGTGATTGTTTCCCCGGACTTAAGATCCTCTCAGGACACCATGAAGAGGGTTGCCGCTGCCTACAGAATGTTTCATGCCATCCGAAGAGCTTTCTGTCGCTTGACACCGGAACTCTTTAGACTTCTGTTCACCTCGCATGTGCGCCCGATTTTGGAATACGGCCTCCCTGCTGCCTACCCGCTTTCCAAATCTGAGCGCGACATGATCGAAAAGGTCCAACGGCGTGGATCGAAGTTTGTCTCCGAGTTACGTGACCTGCCGTATCCCCTTCGGCTTCGGCATTTGAATATGTTTTCTATGGATTACCGCCGTCGGCGTGGGGACTTGATCTTTACCCGTCGTATCCTCAGGGGAGAACTGGGGAGAGAGTTGCAGGAATTCTTCCACCTCAACATCGGGAGTTCGACTAGAGGCCACCAATGGAAAATATTCAAGCCACGGAGGCTCAAAGTACGGTCCATTCTTGCTCTATCCACTCGCGTTGTGAATAATTGGAACCGGTTACCGCCGACAGTCGTTGATGCACAGACAGAGGATTGCTTCAAACGACTACTTGATACACACCTGTTGAATATGCCGGGATCGTGTTGCTTCAGCTACGAGTGCGACGGCCTCTCCGGAGTTCCCGTTGCGCAATGACGAGCATCCCAGCAATGATCGGGAAGCGATGGAGCTGACAAGGGATTTCCCCTCCTGCTCTCTACTACCCCAATGAACCCTGTGGTCGAACTGATCAGTGTATCCTCAGTTATCCATGTGTCAGTTCCTGCTCCCTCGCAAAGGTCCTGTTGTTTTATCCTTGGAGTCAACTTCGGCTTTGTGACTTGGTGAGTCCATTTCAATGCACTCGTGTCACACACGGTCTTTCCGACTGGGGCTCTCGTCGCTTGCAAAAGTTGTCACCGTAATCTTGTTCACCTCTTTGCTTCTTATCTTTTACATTCAATTCTTTCTCTGAACCCTCTCCGTCACGATGGTTGTCAAGCGCTGCTTAAACTCGCCGTGTCCGCCTTCTGACGACTCTGTGGTCATGTGTGGTAAAGAGGGTTGTCTAGAAGCGGTTACAGATTCTTCCGGGGGCATGCAATGCGATATCTGTAACCGCTTGTTCCATAAGGCCTGTACTGGCTTTGAATCGTAGACAGTATGCTCTTCTGTCTAGTAGCGAGAGTTTACTTTACCGTTGTAATGACTGTTGCATGCGCAGGACTGAGCGTTACACGCCAGTAAAGAGCAGTCCTGTTTCTCGGGAAAGTTTGCTGTCTCTGTTTGTCTCGCTAGACAGAAAAGTTGAATGGATTGTGAAGGGCCTAAAACGCTCAGGTCTTCTCTGTCAGGAGACAGTAGAAGACACTGGCAAGTTGTCATTTCCTGCATCTGTTTGTTCACTGTCAGATGTCAGTTTACCTGTTAGCAGCGACCTTGTTATTAACGAACCCTCAGACAGCGTGTTTGATTCGGCTGTTAGCGAAGGAGAGCAGCAGGTTTCTGCCTTTGTCAAAAGAAGGCGAAAGAGGGTTAAAAAAGTGGCAAAACCCAAGGCGGACATGAGAGGTCCGTCGGGCGCCACTTCCCCCTCAAATTCTACTACTGCGGAATCGTTGCAGCTGGAAACATCTACGACATTAGAGTCTATACAAGCGGACAATAAACTGAAACCACCGACGTCCATGGAGCGTTCGGTAAATACTCCGCGTCGCGGAGACTCGTATACCGACTGCAGTGTTATTTTCAGAAACGCCACTGAGCCACCGTTCTCCCGAAAGACCGTATGCTAGATGACCTTAAGTGGTTTAGAGTATGCATTACCAAACTCCTGCCTCCCGGCTTCCACGGCGTGACTGTGCGCAAACTAACTAGACTCGGTAACTTGCCAACTGACAAGTCTCGCCCTCGCTTGTTGCGAGTTGTTCTGTCCACTCCGGAGGAGCGCCAAGCACTTTTGCGTTTCGCCTTTAAGCTCAAGGGCACTGGTGTCATTGTGCACCCAGACCTCCCTTTGGCGGATAAGCTGAAATTGCGGGAAGCTGTGAAGAATCTTAAAGCCCGCCGTAAAGCAGGAGAAAAGGGTCTCCGCTTGGTGGGTTTTCGGGTGGTCAGCCGGCGGTCCACTTCCGCCCTACCATAGCCGGTTCTGGTGGCGCACGATCCCGGACTCACAATGTTAAATCTTTTCAGGTGATCTTAAGCAATGTGCGTAGCCTGCGAAACAAGCTGTGTGAAATCGGCGCTCTTGTCGACGACTGCCGTCCAGATGTCCTCGCATTCACTGAAACGTGCTTGTCCACCGACGTCACGGACAGTGAAGTGTGCTTGCCAGGCTACGCACTGCTGAGATGTGACCGCACCTCTGATCGGCGCGGAGGTGGCGTTGCTTTGTACGTTAACACCACACTTACTGTCTGTAAGACGTATAGTTTCAGATCATCATAGGGTGATGTTGAGGTACTGGCAGTTAACCTGTGTATTGCCTCCGCGCAACTTAAAGTTGTACTGGTCTATAGAAGCCCCGACAGCGTTGCTAAGGGACTTGCTGATTTCATCCGCGAGCATTCGGCAAATAGGTGTTTAGTGATGGGGGACTTCAACCTTACCGACATTGACTGGCAGCATTTTTCCTGCGACGCTGTTACAAGGTGCTTGGCTACCGAGCTTCTTGAGCTGGCCTTGCATGCTTCCCTGCACCAATTTGTCGATCGGCCTACTAGATTTATGATGGATCAAAACCCATCCCTCTTGGACTTGATCTTTGCCAAATCCACTGATTTTGTCACGAATATTGTATACAACTCACCTCTCGGTGCTAGCGACCACGCATGTCTCATTTAAGTGCGCCCTTAGTCGTCAGACTAATGATCATCCCGACCGAGTTCCAAATATATGGCACGCCGACTTTCAGACAATGAAAGCCAAGGCCGCAAGGTCGCCTTGTGTCATTTTGGAAAGTGACGACATGCAAACGGCCTGGAACAGATTTAAATCATACTTGAATGAACTCTCTCTCTCTCCCGCATACCACTATCTGGCAGGAATAAAACTAGGGCAGTCACCCTGGTTTGATTCTGCTGTACACAAACAACTTAACAGACGTGCCAGATGTTGGCGAACTTACTTATCTGCTCCTTCATTATGCACCTTCAAGCAATATCATGAGGTTCGAAATACCTGTAGGCAGTATCTACGAGGTGCTCGTCTGCAGCATGAAGTAGAGCTTGCCCGTATAGTCTCATCAAACCCGAAACGCTTCTTCGCTTATGTCAAAAGGCGAAGCAACATGAACCCGTGCATCCCAGTGTTGTTTGGCCCTGACGGTACTGCTGTTGTCACGGATCACGAAAAAGCTTGTTTGCTCGGAGAACACTATGCTGGGGTTTATGTTCGAGAGTCAGCCGCCGCATATCAGTCTCTAGGCAAAAGTTCCTGAGGGCTCCCACTTGGAGGAGATTTCTATAACCGAGGCTCAAGTGCTCCGGCTTCTGAGGCAATTAAATCCTAATAAAACTGCCGGTGGAAATGCTATTCATCCCAAACTGTTGTACAAGTTGGCTGATGAAATTTACCGTCCGATTACGCAACTTTTTGTGAAGTCTTTACTAGGCTGCTCTCTACCCAAGGACTGGAAGGAGGCTATTGTTTGTCCCATTTTTAAGAAAGGTGATAATCACCTCCCTGATAACTATAGACCGGTCAGTTTAACGAGCATGCTGGTCAGGTTGTTAGAAAAGCTCGTGAGGGACGCCCTCGAAGGACACTTGAAAGCGTTTGAGTTGCTTAATCCTTCTCAGCACGGTTTTCGTAAGGGCTATTCTTGCCTTACTAACTTGTTAACCGCTCGTGAACACTGGGCCGAAGCCGTTGATTGCGGGAAGGCAGTGGACGTGCTGTTTATTGACTTTTCCAAAGCTTTTGACACCGTTCCACATTCGCGCCTTTTGTACAAGTTGACTTCCTGTGGTATTTCCGGACCAGTCTTACGATTGATTTCAGCTTTCCTAATCGGAAGGGAAACGTGTGTGGGTGGGTTCAAGCCTGTCCTTCCGCCAATGTGTTCTCAGTGGCGTTCCGCAAGGTTCGGTTGTTGGCCCCCTTCTCTTCACTTTATACGTTAATGACCTACCTGATGAATTAGGTGTGCCATCCCTAATGTTTGCGGATGACTTGAAACTCTGGTTCACGATAGACGAGCCGATTGGTCCACTGACCCTACAGGCGGCTCTGGATAGACTTTGGGACTGGTCAATTTTGTGGCAGTTGCCCGTTAATTTAACGAAATGCTCAGTTTTACGCGTTGGTCCGAATGACCTGCCGACGCGTTATTTGCTTGGCGGCAACGAGGTACCGCGAGTTCAACTCCAATCTGACCTCGGTGTTTTGCTGTCATCCGACTTTAAGTCCAGTGAACACTGGACAACAGCTGCTCGCAAAGGTTTCAACATGTGGATGATCCGCAGGTCATTCGGGATCATGACCACCGACATGTTCGTTAGACTATTTTCGGCTTTTGTAAGGCCGCACTTGGAATACTACGTCCAGGCTTGTCCTCCATGCCTGGTTCGTGATAAGATGTCAGTTGAACGAGTCCTGCGGTCCGGGACAAAAATGGTGCACGAATTAAAGAAGCTGACGTACCCGGAGAGTCTACATAAGTTAGATATGTTTTCCATGTATTACAGGCGGCTTCGGGACGACTTGGTCCTCATATATCGTATATTGATGGGTCAGATTGGTCCTGAGTTGACTGGACTGTTTCGCCCAACTCGACTGCCAACCCTTCGTGGCCACCCATTAAAGTTGCACAAACCCCGGTCTGACTGGGTTTGGGCAGCTTTTCGGTTATCGCGTAGGGTTATAGCTTATTGGAACGCATTGCTTGCAGACGTTGTGATGGCACCGACGGTGAAAGAGTTCGAGCTTCGACTTGACGCTCTCGGTCTGCAGTTTAAACTCTTCCCCTTCATATCTTAAACTTTTCTTCGTCTACTACAGCCTACGCTTCTTTAACTCATTTTAACTTACATCTTAATATTGCCTACGATATTCGATCAGCTTGTCTTCTCCTCTGTTTCCTTTTCTTTACTGACACTACTGTTTTCTTTTATTCTTCACGTGGCCGGCACAGCGGGGACTGCTAGTGCAGGACACGTGGGCATTGTTTGGTTGATCATGTGAGCCGTGTGTGTTGATTTGGCTCTCCTTTGGCACATCAAGGCACCGGTTTCACTGTTGGATCAACGACGTTTTCGAAGGTGGAACATTCGCAGGATTTTCCTACTGTTCTGGTTCCACTTGAACTTGAACTAGTCGGTGACAATGTCGCACGCTACCATTACGCTATTGTAGTCGGGATCGTCGAGTGCGCCAATGCCGGGAATTTGACTACGGGCCGTTGCCTGTGTGCATAGTTGATTTCTGTGTTCTCTAGATATATGATTTGTTAGGCTACTTTGCTGCAATGTTAATACTGTTAATCAAGGAACTCCGAAAAGCAGCATTATGGATGATATTCATCCTAAGCTTCTGTACGAACTCGCAAGCGAGCCATGTGGAAGATGCAAGAAAAGACAATCCGACGTCGAAGTGCCGGGGGCCGCTTCACTTACCGGCACAAGAACTGGACGCTCGTTAGGCGGAGGCCTCCATGTTCCATTTGACTTGACCTGACCTATGTGGCCCAGTGACGCGTTTGTTTCAATTGTCGCTTCGCAGCTCCTCCTTTCCCAAGGACTGGAAGAATGCTATCGTGTGCCCG